CCTCCAGACGAATAGGCTTTTTATTCCATCTGAGCTTATTATTATTCTTCGTTTTGCGTGACAACGTGACGGTACCAGCGATATTTTGCATAACAAACACTGAAACACTAGCGTGGCTGCGTGGTATGATGTTGTGATTGCATAATCGGACAGTTAAGAAGGTCGCTCAAGGGCAGAGTCGATCTGCATGATCACTTCCAAACAACTTTTTTGTGCATGAAATCTAATTTTCAGCTTAACACGGCGATCAGACACCAATGCACACTATTTTTGTTGGATGAAAATCATTTTCCTTTAAAACCGCTTCAGTAAAACGAAATGAAATAACGGGACTTAAATATCCGGACTTGTCCGAGACAAGTTGCACAACACCTATTACTTATTTCTGTGCATGGTGAAAAGGAAAAATCTAATCAAAGAAGGCTCAAGTGTCGGCACGTGGATTAGAAGGTCGCGAGTAACCTGGGTACCCGTGTTGTGCTCGTGATGATCTCGTGTTCGCTCGTGTGAATACGACAGGGACCTTACAGAACAGTCGCTCTGCACGTGCATTTGGCACCTCTGTACATTTCTTAGCCGTCCTCGGCAAACGACTTAGTTTTTAATACATTGCTTCTCGTATTTAGTACTTGAAATTGAACGCCTACATCAACAATTTCCAATTATTTTTTTTATAACCGAGAGACACTGCAGAGATCTACATAAATGCAAGACTATGAAGCAAAACTGATCGGCGACGTTCTCGGTGTCGCCGTCGTCACTGTGTAAGGTTCGTAAATATCGATCCTGACGGTCATGCAAGACCATTTTACCTTAGGAATCGAACACAAGGTCTCGTTATTAAAGTGTGGTTTTTACCGAGGCAAATCATGTAATATAATATACAGAATAGTTTTCCCTAGGAATTTTATTGATTGTAATTAGAGCTTTATGTGCCTAGACGTCAAGGGGGGCAAATTTTCCAATTGACCAGGCCGCACGGGAGTGTTGAATGAATTCGTCGTTATACGACCCTCAAGATCGTAGCTGACGGTGAGGCACTAAGCCGATAGTTTCTTTTGGTGACTTGTTTGGGTCATAGACTGCTAAGGACTTCTTGGGGAGCATTATCGACACTATCCAAGGCTTTCATTTCTGTGTCAAACAGACTGTTTTTGGGCTTTTCATGGTTTTAGTTCATTGTGTTTTCATTTTACTGTATTCTCAGCCTTGTGTATATTTTCTTTACATATTCTTGAAATTTCCCCAGGTACAGCCTCGATGTTCTTATGAAAAGATTCTTATAGAAAAGAGCCTGGGGCGTTTGGGGAATTAAATATATTGGCCTCATTCGCATAAGTTGTCATTCACTGTCGACCGCTCCCTGGCACTGCATGGTCCATTACGTTTTATATAATATGTCGAATCATTCTCGTATTTTGATTGCTTCTTACTCGTGCACTAGGATTGTTTTTCTCTGCACTTGCGCATGCATGATTTTTTACTCCGTGAAACATGCTTTATTTCGGCTCGGTGAACGTAGGTAATTGCTTTTTTTTTTTTAATTTATTTATTTTCAGCAGTGGTCGTGTGCAGTGAATGAATTTTTTGGTACAAGTATGCTCAGTTAAGTAAAGTAAAGTAAAACTTTATTTAGCCAAGGTGGTCCATTCAGTATCGTGGTTGGTATCCAAAGGGGCCCTGGTAATGCTTGCAGGATACTTTTTTCAAAATCACCCATCACCTGAGTCTCCTGCGCTGTTGGTTTTCTTTGGAAGACTTCTACCGGTCCCCCTGCCCCGTTCAAAAGTCAAATGGTCCACCTCTTACATAAAATCAATTCCATGTTGCCGTGTGTCTGTTCAGTAAAATAGATCACAGATGACATCAAAATGTGGTTCTTACCACCCAGGTCTATAAATGAATACCCCTAGATTAAATGCTCGGGTAACCCTGCGATGGGCTAAAATCCACTCTAGAGTTTCATGTAATGGAGAGCAAACGAAAAAAGGAAACCGACTGGAAACTCTGATTTTTATACCTAATCGTACCTTTCTGGTACGCTTCGGTGCCATATCAGGCGAGTTTGGCAGAGAGATGGTTGGTTTTTTTTGGCGAAGAGCAGTCGAGCCAAAATACCCATGGTGAGACCAAACGAGTCTGATATGCCGGCGAAGCTTACCAAAAAGGTACGATTAGGTACAGCTGTATTTACCGTACCCAAATTCGGCCAAGTGACTATGATATCATAACAATATCATATCAGTGACTTGATGTCCCAGGTTATCAAGACAGTCGACACGGCTTCTAATTGGCTAATCGCGAATATGGGTACGGGAAAAAAGATAAGGGTACGCAGAAATTTGTCGTCCATTCATTATGTGGTGTACTGGTTGATATCAGTTGATATCACTACTTTAATACCATTAGTCTGCATCAGAGTAAGATGCTATAGCCATTTTAAGAGACTAATTAGTACATCCTAGATAACGTGCATGTTTCTCAATTAGAGTGGTTAAGTCAGTTGCTTTTTTTAAAGCATTTCAAACATGCTATTGCATAATTATAAAATTAAACGATATTACACTGCTGTAATTTCACTTGCATGCGACTTGCTGAAAATCCTCAAGTAATAATCCTTGTAATAAAACAGTTTCTACAAAGCGCAGAAATGAGATCCCGAGAAACACAAGAAATCACTGTTCCGCAAAAAGTTAGCGTAACAGTGAGCTACAGAGTAGACGAATTATGAAGCTCTTGTTGTAGTACTTATTACAGCGTTTTCTTATCATGCATCGTTTTCAACAGCTCTGATTCGCAGTTGCAGCAAAGGGAATGGTTTGGCTGTGAGTGACATTTTTGGCTTGACTTCTGGAAAACCAGGAACAGGCGAAAAGATGAACCTCTGAAGAAGAGAGGCCAAAACAAGTCGCATCTCAGCCATTGCTAGCTTATTTCCAATGCACATTCGAGGTCCAAATGAGAATGGCATCAGAATATACCGCACCAAGGACTCCTGTTCTTTGGCTAAAGAGTGAAAAAGAATGGCAACTTCAGCCTAACGACAAGTCATACGAACAAACACAAAACACCTTGTTTGATCCGTTAAGTCAAATTTCTAATTTATCTGCTGATCAACTGCCCACGAAAATCCTATGATACCAACAGTGGTAATTTTCCGAGATAATGCGACACAAGTTAAACCATGGCTATCACGTTAATCCAAGATGACGAAAAATTGATAAAACGACATGTTGCTATAAATCTTACTGGATGTGATATCACAACCGAAAGCCATTCATTTAGTCTTTAAATCGTGCATCCAAAAAGCGTTAACCGTTTCACTGGAAATTGCGTTTCAATTATGTCATCATATTCACGGCAAAATTCCCATGATTACCTCTAACATTTTACAGAGAGCTAGCTGGCATGTTGGATCCGCCATCTTTGATTTCAACACAATTTGAAACAAAAATAAGATGCAAGAGGGTTTGAAAGACACTCTTCACCGAAAAAGCAAAACAAATCTAGTTTTTGATTAGTAAAGACAAATATCACGTCTATAAACGTGATCAAAAAGTTGACATGATGGGACTATAAACAAACTTTCCACCACTCCTCCCCCTCCAGCCAAAGGCTTAGTAGCTTAATAGTTGCTTAGACATTCTTCTCCTACTGTTCCTGACCGGTTGCAGGGTTCAAATGAAAGGAAACAGTAATTACTTACTCAAATTCTCAAATCTCTCAGGTTTGAAAGTTTCTGGATCTTGCCAATACTTTTCAGAGCGATGAATAACGTGAATTCCAATCAGAAAATGAGTATTGGCAGGGATGTGGTTACCACCCAGAGTGTCATTCTGGGCTGATTCTCTGCCAACCTGGGTCACAGCAGGATGTAGTCTCATGGATTCCTTGATGACGTTACTCAGGTATTGCAGCTCGTCAAGTTTGGCCCAGGTTATATCGGTTCCTGTCGTGTCAATTGAAAAGAAACGTTTTCATCCAGGTAAAGGAGAAGGTCACCCTAAAAAGCTTACTTTTTTTGTCGCCACCTATAGCAAGTACACATTGAGTTTTTCCACTCACCGGAGTTTCAGCCGATCTGAACTGCCAGCGATCCTGAAAAACTTCGTCTCGAACGAAGCCCAAAACTCGACTTTAGAGCCCGCCACATTGAAACTGTACTTGGCAGCCAGGTCGCGTTTATGTGACGTCATTCCGTCCAACTCGAAATTGGTGGGAAGCTGAAAAACCTGCAACTGACGTGGCAACCTTCACAAAGTCAGGAAAGTGTATTTTTTCAACCGATTATCCACTTCATCATCTTCACTGTGGAGCACGTTTGGCTTGAAATAATACGGCTCAAGAGCAGCCATAACCTATAGGACGAAATGATGTCACGAAAACGCGGCCTGGCTGCTGAGCACTGTTCAAAACGGCGGCAACAATGCCGAATTTCAGGGGTCTTTGGAGACAAATTTTATAAGGAAAACCTGCACTTCAGAGGCTGAAACTTCGGCGAGTGGCTAAACTTGGTGCCAGGTTTTTATCAACGTTGACCAAAAAATACGTTTTTTGGAGTGACCTCCTTGAAAATCCCCGAACCCTCTTAGGAGTTGCTGAGTAGAATAATGTGTGAGTGACGTGTGATCATGACGTAGGATATCATGGCGTCCTTTGAGGTGGATGCTTCATGTCTTGTGATTGGACTTTTTAACTTGCGAGTTGTAGTGAGTGGTCAGGATATTCTTTTCGATAAAAGCATGTATCTGGAGCCAAAAAAGAGGTCCGTAATGCGTACATGTGTGGCTTACAGGTTACCCCATAGAATCAAGGGCTATTCTGATAGCGATGTTTCTGTCCTTAGGACTTGAGGTATTACAAATATTGTCATTTCTTCATTGCCCTGAGAACGAGGTTTGAGCGGCCTTAAACCACGCATCGACCAGCAAGGGATACGTACCATCTCCCAGGACTTCATTTGCCTCCTTTCTGATTTTCTCCTGGATTTTGGGGTATTTCGCTAACTCGTATAAAGTCCAAGACATGCTTACGCCAGTAGTTTCGTGCCCAGCAAACAAAAAGGTAAACACCAGCGCGCGCAACTGGTCATCATACATTCGGATGCCAGTTTGGTCGTCAACCATATCCATAGCAATGTCTAAAAGATCACGGTGGGCGGGTTGTCTTCCCGTTTCCTTCATACGGTGCCTTTCTTTGATTACCTGAATTGGAATATCAGTTAGTTGTTATAACACAAAGCTCGTCGCAAAGAGAATAAAGTTTTGTCAGCGCGAGTGATCTTCAGAATTTTCCTCAGTGATGCACACTACGCACGATGAAAATCCTTGGGAAAGATATCTGTCCAGCGTGTTTCGGTTGGTTAACGTGCCATCTTTTCACGAAACTAACAAACGAACAACAAGTGAATAGAACATTGTATGATTTGTTACCCCCTTTGTTATTTACTTTACGCATTCAACCGTTTGATTGACAGCAGCTGAAATCTGCGAAGAGATTCGAGTATTCCCAAAGCTGAATCTGTTGACCTGTCACAGCTGACTAATTCTAGACATGCAAATTATTATGCCGCGCGTTAATAATCTGAGAACTGTAAGTACATGTCGCGAAAGACAATGGCATTCTGAGCGATGTAAGCTACAGCTGTAGCTACATGGCTGATCTATCACACAAAAGCTCTATAGTCCCAAACCTTTTGAAGAAATTTGTCACAATGGAGTCTGGCGAGATCACGAAAATTAAGTGAATTGTGTTCCGTAATCCACGCAAAATCACTAAATTTCACTAAATTTTAAAGTGTTGCTAAACACGTGAAAAACTGGGCTTTTGCAACATGGTGGTAGAAGTGTTGGAAGCAGTAAAGTTATCCTAGTAGATGTTGAGCGAATAGTCGACCAACACTGAACGAGAAAACTAATTTGGGCCTGTAAGAGTCAGTTTTATCAAGCAAATGTTCGTGAAACAATTGCATCTCAAGCTAACTTACCTTCATGACAACTTCATTGGTAATTTTAGTTGCATTGCTCTTTAGTCGATTTTCTTTCAAAGGTAGGTACTTAAAAAATGGCAAAGTCAACAAAGAAAACCTGCCAAGGTCCACACCAGTCGACATATGATTGAAAGCATTTGTGATCTCTGTGTCCCCGCCACGTACGGACTTGAACTGGTATCCGAAAGCACTCTGCCCAACAATGTCCAGTGCCAATCGCAAAAGATCTGACTGTACCATGATATCTGCATAGTCTTTCTGTGACTGTTGAAGTTTTTCTTTCCAGAACTAAAGACAAGTGAAAAGGGATGACATATAATACAACTAGACTGCGACCAGTCTCGCTTTAGCTTGAAGTTTGGCGAGCGTTCACCGCTTTACTCGTGGCTGGCGCTGGGGGCTCGCGGCTTTGCTGCTCACCTCTGTTCATTTGCGTTCTTACTCGCGGATTTTCGAGCAAAAGAGAGACTACTCGCAGTCTACAATACAACCCTGAGCCCAGAGCCCAGTTATTAGATACCGGCTCAGCGCTGACACAAGTTTATTCGCCCGAACTAATATCACAGTCCGTCAGCTAAGGTGCCATGATTTCCACAAAAGGTAAGAATTCCTTCAGTATCTGTCATAGATACACATATCAAGAAACGCGGCCCATCTGGTGATCACCAAGATTTAAACTTTGACCTTATATGGTAACCGTTAACAATGGCAGCAAGAGCTTCATAATACGCAAGGGAGCTTTTAAAATTTCGCATTAGCATACGAGCGGGAAATTTAAAATGATCGGAAAGACTGAAGTAGAGACAAATTCCACACAGGGGAGGTGCGCTGGTAAAATGTTTTCGGTGCAATTAGTTAGCTCAGTTAAGGTACCCAGTAGGGACGNATGAATAGGACCGAGTAACCAGCTATTCTAAGTGCACAAACTACGTGCCGTCCTATCAGTTGAAGGGATATTCCTTACTCTGTCGAAAATAGTTCTAGCTACTGAGCGTTTGTGTTGTGTAGGGCGATAGGGTCTGAAATGGAGATACTAGCGGTATGTGTAGCGTTTCTGTAAACACTGGTCCTAAAGGGCTATCGACATTCCTGTTTGTCTTCGTGATGAAGCATTGAAGTAAAAAATAATTGTTACTTATTTGAAAGGCTTTTCAAAATAAAGAAGAATGCCGTTTTCATTTTTGGAATATCTTCTTTCGTTTTAGAGATATTTACTTCTCCCGGCCGGTCGGTCGGTCGCGATCGGTAGGTCCGTTCGTCAGTCAGTCAGTTAGTCAGTCAGTCGTTCATCAATGAAGCTGCCTCACTGTTTATTAAAAGGAACTGGTCTTAAGTAGATGAGGATGAGTAGATATTTTTGGGAACGTACGTAATAACGTAGGGAGAGTGGTATGGTAATTCTTGCACACCATATTTTCGGCGTCCCCCTTTAAAGAAATGTGGTTTTGCCTCCCTCAGTAATTCCACCGCCCCTCTACGTCGTAAAGAATGAACGCTCCTTTAATACTTACATACCTGAACCAAGTCGTCTGCAGCCGTCTTCATGAAGGGCACCATTCCCTTAAGGTTAGTATAACTAAAAGCTGGATTGATCATTTTACGCTGCCAAGCATGATCCTTGCCATTTGATGTGAGTAAGCTATTTCCAAGCGGGGGCATCAGAAGTCGAACAAGGGATGGTCGCAAGTACTTGTAGCAGTTTGTGACTAATACCTGTTTTACAAGATCTGTATCTGTCAGGTACACTAATGGTCGATCTACAAACAATAAAGGAATTTTAAAAATATCATCAGCAATTAAATGCAGATAGGAGGAAAATAGTTCGCTGTCGACAATTAACGTTAAGTATGGTGTCTCTGTCATTTTTAGTTTTGCGAGCACGAGAAGTATCAGAACGTCTTCCGTTTCGAAAAGCATGCAAAGCTGTTTATTTTATCGGTGTTCAGGTGCGTGCCTTATTTGGTATGACCCCATCTCGACAGGAAACTGAAGCATCCTTTCAGAAGTTCCGTTTCTCCCGAAAATTCTCCAATGGACTGAACAAAAAGTCGTGTTCTATGTTCATCGCTATCGGAATTTGCGAAAATAGAAAACAGCTCGCAATCATCCTTTTTGAAGCAAGAACAAGTGATACTCTTGCTCGCTCACCAAATAAAGTATTGACCACAATGTAGATACTGCTGAATATTATTGGCAAAGAGTTACAGGCCGATAAATGTAAAAGAAAACAAGAAACCTTTCATTCATTTCGAAGGTCGGTACTCTGTGAAACGTTAGTCTCCTTCGCAACTCTGCGCGACGACCAAAATGAACGGCTATGGAGGAGGGCTATCTTTAATTAAAACGAGGAACGGGGAATCGGGCAATCGGCAAATCGGGAAATGAAAATNATTTCTTGTTGCAAGTCTGGTACTAGATATATATATATTTTTAATATATTCATACATTATTATATATATATTTTGCAATATATATCTAATTTTTTTGCAATTTGTATCAATTCAATTTGTTTCTGTCACAGCAGTATTTCCATATTGACAGTTCTTAATGGAAAGATACATTTTATATACAGTACTGTATCATTGATCAGTTAATGTTGTTGGACTTTTGGCAACATGGGTACATTAATAAATATTTATAATGAAGAACAGACCAGATTTCCTACTATTTTCTGATAATCAACAACAATGTCTACTCTGTAGAAATTAAGAATCTAACTAAGAACGTACTTAGCCTAAACTGTCAATAAGTACCCCATAATACAAGAACCCGTTTTGCCAAACTCTGAATAAAGTAGGTTCTTACACGCGGGTTTTTACTGTATTGAATATTGGACGGAGGTACGAAGATCTAGAGTGGCAGCAGACAGAGAGGAATGGAGGTACTTTTACCTCTCAACGTGAGCTCTTGCATTAACATAATTGTCGAGAAACCGGTAAATAACGGCAAATGAACTCACGTCACCCCTCTTTGGTTCCAGAAATCTCTCTCCAAAAAGCTACGTCTTCCAAACTCTGTAATTCTTGTTTAAATCTAACCTGCCATCAGGCGTTCTGTTTTATTTAGGTGAATGCCTAATAGATTAACTCCGAATGTACTGTTTTTCGCCGGATATTACAGTCTGTAAACGCTCCAGTTCAGTAATCACGCACAAGGCGCACACGTAATAAATAAAGGTAGCCAAAGGTCACGCAATTCGACTTGCAGTCACGACATAATCTTCGAAGAATTCGTTCCTCCTTGAAGAAACCCCTTTGAACACCCGGGGGATGGCAGGAATTAAAATGTTCCCGGTATGGACATATTCCGCTCATTCATGAACTCGGGAAAGCAGCCAATAGTAAGCCTAGTCAATAGTAAGCCGTCGGGTAGAAACCAAACATTCGATAGAATGATCAGGAGTAAAGGTCGGTAAAACCCTTCCGAATAATACAACATATCTTGCAGTTAAGGAAAGACGGTCAGTGGGCCGAATACCTTCCAGAACGACAAATGTTCAAACCGTCTACCTAAAAATAAACTATCTACAAATGTCACACACCGCAGGAGTCCTGCAGGCTTACTTATGTAAAGTACAATGGTAGTCCTAGTTCTATTAAACCGATGCTTGATTTGCAAACGCCAGCGCTCATTATGCCCACACCAAGTCGTGTTTCCCATATTTGGTAGAGCTCGTCTAAAGTTTTTCTTTACAGATGCAGTCTAAAACCCTTTCGGAAAGGGGTTTGTTTCAATCAAGAATCAAAATAATTTCAGGTTAGTTTTAATTTTTAAAGTAGACATTAAATGTTATAATAGAACGTTGTCAAAGAAGACATCCATTCAAGTCAAATCAAATTCGAACTTCGTTTATGCAATATCTTTACAAAACATGTCCATCGTGTGTTATTCCGTTCGGGATATAGCTACCATTAACTATTCCATCGAATTCCACATGGTTGAACCCTAAATATTCATTATTCAATTTCTTTTGACAACCAGTAGGTCAATAGTCAGTTTTCATCTTTCATCCTCGATTGTGTAAATGCGATTCATTTGTTCACCTATAGATTTCTGAAAAAAACACGTACATACCAGGTCGTAGCCACATTACAAAAATCCCTCCATATTTCTTCGACCACTCTGAAGTTGCTCTAAAACTGTCCTTCCGTTTGAGCTCGAGCAAATTGCCGAGAAACATCGATGTGGGAGGACCGGGAAGATTTCGCAGCGGAGACATAAATGCGTCCAAAAATAAGAACTTGCAACTCAGCCACGCAATAATGAGAGTTGGTACAGCAAGGAAAGCAAGTTTCCACTCCATAAGATCGCGCACGAACAACTCTAAAGCCGACATAATTCGCAAGAAAGCGAATGAGGGAGGTTGCGTGACAGTGTTGAGTCACCTTTATTAGAATAGGCCCGTATTGCGTACATGTCTGGATTAAGGGTTATTCGAGTTATCTTCGAATTATACAAATTATGTTATTGAAAAATTATTTTCCGGCTATACTTGTTACAAAAACAAAAACAACAACAACAACAACAACAATTACAATAACAAAAAGACAAAGAAAAAAAGGAAAACCAAGTGAATTGCTCCTTATTTTCAATCTCTTTCAATCCCTTTTCCTGAGCATTGCATGGATTATAAGCCAGTGAAGCTTCTTCGTGAACTCTATACTCTCTACATTGCTCCGAAAAACCTACCTATTCTGATTTGAGCCAGTCTACCTTCAGCCAGTCAAACTTCTTGTCGTCAAGTGGAAACCGAGAGAGGTTGCCTCTCATGTTTTTCTTATGACCAGAAGATAAAAGTTAGTCTTCTTTACGCGACTCTTCTTTAAACAAGGACCCGCGCTATATAAGGAGCCTTGGACTGGGCGAGCAGTCAGTCATTTCACTCTAGACACGGAGCTGTCAATATCTCCGGGTCACGTGATACGCACGGAGGTCTCATATCTGCTACTAGTGCTGCGCACAGTGCTTACAAGACTAATAAAGACCGTCATTCCGTAACTATTTTTTTTTTTTTAAATCGAAATATCTGACGCGTGGAACAAGTCTGTACAATGTTGCGTGGAGCTGAAAATAATGCCAATGGAAAACGCGTGCAGGTAAGTAAATATTTTNCTATCACTGCTTTAGTCATGGGTACTTCTCGAGATGCTGCAGAAGGCATATCTTCTTTATCCCAATTTAGGCAGTATATAACTTTCTTGTTTCTGAAAAAAAAAATTCAGAGAATTATCAACAATGTCACATGTTAGGTTGTATTCAAGCAGAGATGGTTATAGTTCAAAGTCCCCACCGATAAGATAAAGCAGAAACTGTGGTGTGTTGCGCAGGTCGGCTGGAATCATGTCTAGCATCTGTTATGATGATCTAAATTTATGAAGAAGGTAACAAAATTCCATGAAATTTAATTGGATGAATCAATAGTTTGCAAACAAAACAAAGAGTGCAGAGATTCCCTGAAAGGCTACATCATGCCTCGGAAACATACATCCCCTTGGAGAAGATATTGAGCAACCTGCTGTGCTTCCGACCTAGCTTCCTGTAATTTTATCTCATACCAGGCTTTCACAGCATTCTTGTATCCTAAAGAAGTGTATACTGGAAAGAGAGAAAAAGAGCAACTGAAGTATGTTCACAAGAGAAAAGTAAGCTGCATAACTGGTTTCCTGCATGGCAAGGAAGAAGGCAATGAAAAGAAATAAACTCTATGACACTTTTTCTAGAAATTGCATGATAACTGATGAGTATATGGAATTTTTGTGTAGTACACCAAGTACAGTATAACGATACTGCTATTGTCAGAGAGGATTATTATTTCAGAGAAATTGTAATACCGGTAGTAATGTATCTCTCGTCCACATTTCCGATGTGAGCTGCCTTACAAGCACTGACATACTGGGTCTCGGTAAGGCCAGAACTGATAAATCCATGTAAAACCCTAAACAAAAATGACAGCAGTGTTAGCTTACACAAATGTCAAGTTCAAAATTTTCGGAAATTCAAATATAAAAAATTACTTATACTTTTACCTCAAATTGGCTGTGTACTTTCCGCCGATGATACTGCTGGAATTCCATCGACAGGAATGACCGGCCACGCAGCCCACGCTGACGAGCGCCACATGTCCATGCTTTATCGCATCGAATGATGGCAACTCTAGAGGATAGCCACATAAGGGACACCTTCCGCAATATTGTGCCATTGTAGATATGAGGTTTCGCACCGCATCATTGGATGAAAGAAAATAGTCTTTGTTCTCCGTACTTTGGGTGTGGATATTGAACTTTCCGGTTGTATTTTCACCGTAACCCAAAATATACGGATCAGAGATATCCGTTTGCGTTTGTGCATCTATTTTTTTCGAACATGAAGGAAAAGGTTGTGGCGAAGGTTGTGATGAAGGTTGTGCTGAAGGCTGTTGTATCGTTGACAAAAACAAAGATTGACTGGCTGTGATTACCATCTGACTTCGTTCAAACTCTTTGAATGAGCTCAGATATCGTTCCATCATCAAAAGGTTACCCATTGGTGTACAACTGGTTATACGTAAGGCACTTTTAACACCTTGAATTTTAGCTTTCAATGCCTCTAAACACTCCTCCATACCCACTTCAACTTCAAGCTGTATGCTGTACGTAATCCGTTGTGCACGAGGAGGCATTAGTTTGGGCTTCTTGGAGAAAGATTCTGCCATGAAAAATCCAATGCACCGAAAAATAGTTGATAAGATAAAAGAGCGCCTAAGAAGCAAAGACAATGCGTGCAAACTAGCTCGATTCAAAGTGGAAGTTGTGGCACCAAAGCACGACAGCTTCCGCCATGAACCGAACCGTCATTCCCAAAAACGCATATATTACATCATGCCCTTTTTTTAAGCATGCCAAATATTGCATAGACGATGACATAGGCATATTGAAGGCTCAACAAAGCAACGAATCGTCTACGAGGAGTCTGTGAGCGGGTGCGTATGTTCAGGGATTGACAGGGACGGTTACAGGCGGGAAATTCAAATTTCCTTCGCTAAATTCTTCAATTAGCGTTAGAAGGATCAGGATTTTAGTACATTTCTGACTTAAATTCACAATTTGGGTGGTTCTACACTCGCATTAAGTTCTTAATGTGTAGGTTTTTATTTGTTCCATTGCAGAGTGGGTTTACCGCATCTTCCTCACTGAGTCCGCCATCTTTGATTAGGACTATGAACAAAGATTGCGTGACAAAGAGGGGGAGGAGCTATGCCTTTTATGGTGCGGGTCCTTGTTTAAGGAAGGAGCATTGCAGTAATCAATTACATCATACACAGTATAAATGTCGTGGACATTGCTCACAATTGTGTCAATTAAATCATCAGATAGTCCATGTCCAACAATTCCAGTGCTGTCAAACATCCTTATCTTTGATTGTGAAGACAACGACCTTTGAACTTCATTTAGTGCTTCCTTAAGGCATGCTCTCTCATCCTCTGAAAAGTCCCTTGATTTTTCTTGATCACATTCACTAGTAGGTACACAATCAAAGTTTGGAATGGGTTTACTGCATCCAGAATCCTCGCATTTGCAGCTTTTATGGCACACATTACAGCCATCATGCATTGGCGATATCGAACAAACTTCATTATCAAAGCTTTCAAGGAAGGCAATGCGGCAACATGATGTCAGTGACTTCCGTACAGCAGCTTTTATGTCAGACTCATATGTAATTAGATGCCATCCTTGATAAATAGTGACATGATAAGCCTCGGGTCCATCCCTTCCTGCACGTCCTGCTTCTTGTAGATGGCTTGTTAAGTTTTTGGAAGGACCACAGTGTACAACATATTTAACATGAGGGAAGTCCACTCCCATACTTAGTGATGTAGATGCAAATACCACCCTTACATGTCCAGACAACCCCTCAGAAGACTTTGTAATGCAATCCTTGTGACTTAGGGGTGTCTGGGAGTAATAAACTCCAAGAAGACATCTCTCATCAATGGACCCTTCACCCTCGACATAAACTCCTGATTGTCCCAGTTCCATCAGAAAAAATGTCAGAACAGATACAATGTCATTCACTGTCTTACAAAAAATAATTGTGAATGGTGTTTGGCCCTTTTTCTCTCTCAAAATGTGTAAAAGCCAATCAAAGCAATGTAATTTGCTGTTTGCTTTCACCACAGTGAAACGGATGTTGTCCTTGTTGGGACTAACAACTATTGGCAATAGGTTGCTATTCATGCCAAGGTACTTCATTAAGCAGTCACGCATTTCTCTGTTTGCAGTTGCCGTTAACCCCAACACTGGCGTGCAACTTTTCAATAATGAACGCAACTCAGAAATGCGACTAAAGGTTTCCCGGAATGCTGCCTTTCCTTTCTTTCCAATTCCCCTAAAGGAAAAAAAAAGCACTTAATCAAACCCAAACTAATACCTTCAATTCACTAAATTTAACCTTGTTTAGAAGATTATGTAATCTGCAATTAAGGGTCCTAAATAAAAAATTATGTACACAAATACAGCACTTTTGCATTTGGTAGTTTTGATTGGGGTGCTCCCAACATTCCTTGCGTGACAGTTCTAGAACATTCTTGCGTTACCATAAGACATTTAGGTCTTAGAGGGGGATTTAGCAATACCCTCAATTGTAAACACGTGCCCCTGTTGTTGTTCGAGTGATGAGTTGTTAGCAGAATAAACGGAGTTTAGTTGTTATTAGTGTNCTAAGCATTTACTTATCTATTGCTTCTAAAACTACATAGAAAGGAGAAAAGTCAATTAAAAAAGATACCTTGCTCAGCACTTCCAATAGGTACTATGGCTTTTGCCCCGTGGACGTGTTTCTGAGGGCCAGTGGGTGTTTGGAATGGTAGAGCAAGATACTGGGAGAAGTCTAGTTTTTCGCATTCCAGATCGCCAACAAGAGACCTTGGTAACCAGACTAGTGCGTAATGAAGGTGAGAATGGGATAACCAAAGCCAAACTGCCAGGTTGCCTTGACGAGTTCAACTGGAGTAAACTCCATCAAGAGGCGAACCTGGGAGACAGATTCCACTGGAAAAGTTTTGACTCTGTTTTTGTTCAATTTTTGGTCTACTCAACACTGTCGGTAATGTGTCGGTAACATGTTAGCCGACAGTTGACCAACAGGTTACCGACAGCCAAGAATGGGAGCCATTGTTCATTACTATGTGGCTATTACCTTGTGTGCCACTTTTTTCGGTCTTACCACATTTTGATGTCATCTGTGATTAATTACTTAACTGATTCATAACAACATGAAATCCATTTGTTAAACAGACACAGGTGTTTTAGTGGAAACTATAGTACTCGTGAAATTCATATGAAAATACATCTGGAAGCCAAGTGACATATTTTTCATGTTCTCACTAGTGAGGATATTGATGACGTCATTTCCCACTTTTTCAGGGTTATTTGCCCAAGCAGTCAGCTTGTCTATATAACAAGAAGAAATTCACTTGGTGGCTTGAAGATATGCATTTTATTTTCTCCTGTTGAGAGCAATATTTTACGCACTTACTGTACTGTGCTTGTTTGTAAAATGTTGTTAATACTCAAAATAAAATTCATATATTCATGCCACCATGTAATATCCTCCATTTATTACTGATCTTGTCCCTACAAATGGTAAAAAATGTTACAGGTAGCCTTTCATTGTCACTGTTGTGGCTTAACTGCTATGAGTAGCTGCTACTAAATTCGGCAGGGTGATGCTGGCAGTACTACTCTACAATACTACAAATCTACATGTCTACAATAATATTGTATGAACTCATAACTGCATATTTGTAAGCTACAGGCTATCTATTTAAGGCAAAACACTTCAAAGTAACTTATCAGTATATTGACAGATGGACTAAATTCAACTGCTTACAATTTGGGAATATGTGGAGGCTGCAATGGTGCCTCATGGTGACCAAATTAGACACCCCAGTCCTCCACGTTGGGTGTTGGGCATAGCGCTGACAAACCTACCCCATAAAAAGCTAATTGTTACGGAAACCTACACCAGAAACCATTAAGCTGTGGCAGTAGAAACAACACAATCCAAGCTACTGGACCAATGACCAGTGTTGAATTGGCCAAACCCAGTTGAAAGCCAAATCTTGAGAGCAGAGCTTCTGTTTTCAAAAGAGAAGATTAGAGTTGGCTGCTGGAATGTATGCACCACGTATCAGACTAACAAGCTGGCTCAAGTCGTAATGGAGATGGACAGGTACAGAATAGACATCATCGGTATAAGTTGAAGGAAGATGGACAGGACCAGGGATGATAAAAGAAAGAAAGGTCTGGACACAAGGTGATATGCTCGGTTTTAAAGGACAACCAACATGCAGAAGGGGTGGCGATCATCGTGTCAGACAAAGCAGTAAAAGCATTGACAGAGTGGTAGCCATTAAGGGAAAGACTTGTCATGGCTATATTTAACTCCAGATACACCAAACTCACTATCATCACATGCTCGCACCCAAAGAAGACGCTGAGGAAGAGAAGAAAGATGTTTTCTATGATGAGCTACAGCAAGTCAGTCAAGAGGTACAGTCACATGATGTGCTTTTTGTAATTGAGGATTTCAACACTCATGTTGGGAATGACAGTGAACGCCATGATAAGATTATGGGGAAGAATGGGTGTGGTAACATCAACAGCAACAGATGCAGATGTGTGTGAGAAGAATATAATTTGGCCATTTGAGGAAGTCTATTGCAGCACAAAGAGATTGGCAAGATGGCTTGGTCATCCCCAGATGGCAAGACGCACACCCAGATAGATCACATTATCATTAACAGCAAGTGGAAGAACTCGCTTTCAGACAAGGAGGTACAAATAGGAGTAGATGTCTGGAGTGACTACCAGCTGCTGANAAGAGGAGTAGATGTCTGGAGTGACCACCGGTTGCTGATGGCAACACTGACCATCAACCTGCACAAAACTAAGTTCCAGAGACCAAGACAACCTCTAAGCTTGAACTCAGAAACTGCCTCCAAGCCCTCAAGGAAGAAGTGGTGGAACCTGACCTCTGCACTTTTCACTATTGGACAGTGAGAGAAGCAGGAGAGAAGTTCCTTTGATTCAGAAGGAAGAAAGAAGACTGGATTCAGGAAGGAACATGGGACAAGATGTCAGAAAGAAAGCGGATGAAGGAGAAGATAGATTCTACAAGGTGAGAGAGAGTGAAAGATTGCTACAGAAAGAAATACCAAGACCTGGACTACGAGGTGAAGAAGATGGCCAAGAGGGACAAGTGGACTACATTGAAAATCTGGCTGAGAAAGCAGAAGTGGTTACAGCATGACAAGAACTGAATATGCTTTATACCATCGTGAAGATACTCAGTGTTGGATATAACAGTGGAAAAATGCCTGTGAAGGATGAAACAGCAGAGTTTTGTCTCGAGTAGAAGACAATCTAAAGAGATGGCATGAGCANACTGTGAGTGTACAGTGTCTCCCCAAGAGCACAGAGCAATATCCCTGCCCAGAGCTTGAACCTGGACTGCTTGATCCCAAGTGGAGTGCACCAACCATGAAGCCACTGCACCTCCCTTGTTGCCTTGCACCTGGTTCCCATCATTCTGTCCAAAGTCGTTTTTGTTTTCTTTTTTTTGTTGGTGACACATCCCTTGCCTGCACTTGACATGGCCTACATGTTAAAATATCTCAAAACTAGGGTTTAACACCTAATACAGCTTGGCAGACTACCATAGGGGATCAAATTATCATCAGAGTAAAAAAACCAACTACTAAAATGTGTTGGAGACTAATATGTAGTCAGATGATTAAACATTGTGTCTCAGGTGACTTGAGAGAAAGATTGTTATTAGACAGCATAACTTCTTGTTACCAGAAAGCAGTTGAGACACCTAAATTGGTTTACAATCTAACACACAGGAAACACACCCTGTTATGCAAACACAAGAATAGCGAGTTTGGGAGATCTTGGGAGAACTTGAAACCTGCGGTTCTCCCAAACTTATAAAAAATATCTAACAGTAGTTTTGGCTTTGAAAACAAACAGTTCTTCTGTCCATATCTGGTTTTGTAAGTGAATGTGTCCATTTGCCTTGGAACAGTGCTGATAGAGTGTTACTTATATCAGTTCAAGTATGTTCATCGAACTTTACACTGGTGGCATCATGAATCCCAACCAAAACATCTGCTATTTTGTTGGTCTGATTTCCTGAAATTGGCACCAATTCATACTTGTTGATACATTCAGGGCAAGCATCTAGAATTTCTTTCAGTTTTCGTATGAACAGCACCACCTTCAAATAAAAGAAAAAGTAATTTTGATTTGCTGATGATCACAATATTAGAGATATCTGACTAGTATTAACCTGGAGAAACAATAATGATAGAAATTAATGCAGGTGTATTGTTAAGTACACTGCTGACCGCTGTATTAATTTTTAAATCTGTCATCTTCATTACATTATGTACAGTGCAACTAAATGAACCAGGCTGGTTCAAACAAAATTAACCAATCCTAAATTAAGAACAAAGGATGGCAACCTTTTCTTCAGTGAACAAACAGTAGTTCTAGAACAAAAATTTGAAACCCAACAAAGTTACAAATGTTGCACACTTCCTAGGAAATGAAGAATTTTTTTGATTGGTTGGTTGGTTGTCTTGCTAATTAATTTTTAAGAGGTTTTCAATAGCTTTGGTTTGGCTATCAAAACAAAATTTCTGGCTAAATTTCTTGAGTGAAATTAGTTATGGTAATTTGCCAAAAAGGACGGAATCGATCTAATCTACAGTGTGTGTAAAGCATATACAGTATATAAGTTCAAGTAAAACAAATCTACATGCTTAATAATTATGTTTATAATTATGCTTGGTTAAAATTTTGTTCTTGAACTATTGTCTGCAGGCTTCAAGGTCATTAATCAGTTTGTGGAAAACATCACCATCCATTTTTCTCAATATTCTATGTCTTGATAGGTCTATTTTTCTATGGTCCAGTTCAAGTAGTCGCACTGTACAAGTTGAAACAATATGTAAATTGGTACCTTTTAGGGGAGAGAATAAATTGAGCCATCACTGACTGCCCAGCCCAGAAAATGACATTAATTTCAGGGACTCTTTAAGACTTTTAGACAGCCATACAGTCACTTTTAATTAGTGTCAAGTTTTCCCTCTGGGTAAGGCCGGGAGTAGAAAGGCCACTTCATCACTACAAGGAAAACAGTCACAGGGAGTACTCCCTTATGTGGGCTGTACTAGTATGGGTATGTCCGGACCCAGAGGGTATGGTTTTTAGCTGTTTTGGTCATAAATAGGTTATTAATTTTGGTCATTGTGGTCTCAAATAGAGTATGGTTTTTGCACTATTGTCTTGAATTCATTGTTTTTAAAAGAAGCTAATTTTTCATCACCATCGATAAGACGATCAACAAAAGCCCTCCATAACGTCTTTTAAACACAGGTTTGAACTAGGTAACCCTGAGACAGGTCTGAAACAAAGCATTGATTTAAGGGTTGATAATTTTTAGAGGACCCTCCTGAAAACCACCTCTAGGTGATTGGAGGCCTCCTCTTAAAATATTAGTTTATCTTTATCATTATCATTATCATTATCATTATCATTATCATTATCATTATCATTATCATTATTAGGTCTTAAATAGGGTATCAAATTTTTGGTCAGGTCATAAATAAAAAACATTCACCAACCCCTAATAAAGACATAATAAAGACATCATTATCACTCCAACATTACTTACCCAAGGCATGTGCCTCTAGGGGGTGGGAATTTTATGTCAGAGGTGTGTGGAGGGGATTTGAACAAGTTTAACTAGTGAAAATTTAATCACTTTTATATTGTAATGGTAAGCTTACATAAAGGCAATACTTGGGACAGCGTGAAAGCACTAGAGGATGACTTTTTTTTCTTTTCCACTAATCTTTTTTGCCATGCATATCTAGGATGTAGTGCTATCCGAAGATGGGACATTTGAACACCATTTTTAAAGGGAATATTTACACCAATATTTTTAACATGTCAAATGCCAGGAGGGGGGAAAGGTGGATTAGCCAGGGGGGAGATGTTGAAGATTAGAATTGACGAATACATTACCTGATTATCGAGTTCTTGACGAGTCAGGGGAGCATCTACATGCATGGACATATCATACAGGGACGCAAGAGGAGTGGCATACTCGAGGATAAAGTAATATTCCTTCATTCTCCCATCAGGGTTGGGCATCTCTATACGGTGCACTGCATGCTTGTAAGATCGCGCCTGTATACCAGCCCTATTTCTTAAATACTCTGGGAGGTTACCGGCGCATTTCACCCTCTCATCTGCCTGCGCAATTTCATCATACGCGTAGCAGGTTTTTGGCAGCAAGATGAAAAGCTTTCTCTTTGTTATCTTATAACGAAATTTCTCTGATTTTGAGATCTGATCGTCAAGTTTTGGAAGCACCAGCTTCAGGTAGCCAAAATAATAACTCCAAGCCAGTCCATCAGCAACATTCTTGTTTTCTTTTTCGTTTATCTCCGATATTTCTACAGGAGACAGTTCTCGAGCACCAACAAGGAAAACCAACTGTGGAACTAAAAGGCAGTTCAGTGCAAATAATATGACATAGTCTGGGTGGGAAAAGGCTTCATAATGTTCGTTCAAAGCAAAGCACATGCACATTAACAAAGCGGCAACAACGGCCACTGCTAAAATAGCGCGACAATATCCGAATGCGAAATTGAACACTTTCTTCCACTTTCCTTGGTATCTCGTCTCCTTGTGTCGAATCTCTTCAGCTACCAGGCAAACTCTCCGCAGAAGCTCCCCCAAAACTGCACTAAGAGTAAGCAAGGCAGCTGCGAAGACCAGAAAAAGAACTCCTTCCTTGCCCCCTCTCTCCCTCACCTATGATAACACAAGCACAACTGCTGAAATAATGTCCACAACCCACGAGGCAATCACTGCCGCTCCTCCACGAGGCTTAGAAAGTGGCCCAAATCCGTTATTTTCCTGTTGAGCTACGTTAGCGTCTGGAGGCATGGCAGATATTCGGCAAGTTGTGGTTGCAGCAAATTCGAGGAACTCGCTGAGGAGCATTTTTTTTAGGTGTCAAATTAGGTAACACGGTCAAGCCCCTTGAGGAAAATGCACCTGTAAATTTAGCGCCAAAAATGGTCGCATGTGCATTGTATGCAGACGCCATGTTTGAAGTTCTGGCTGATAGAAATGGAAAATGGGGAAAATAAAACAACCGTTGACGTTATAGTTATAAGTGATGATGAAGATCCTGAAGACAAGCATCCTTTAGACCTCTACCGAGTTGAGGACAATAGTTTAAAGAACCCTGTGATTGTCGTTGAAGAGGATGACACTGTGAACGAAGAAACGCCGGCGGTTGAAGTTTCCGATGCTAGCAAACCCGATAAAAAATCTCAAGCTTCGAGCTCAGTCAGATGTGTATATAGTCCGTCGGGCAAGTATAAAGTCTCGAAAGATGGTATTAAGAAACTGAAGGCTATGGTTAAATTAAGAAAGTTGGACTTGAAGCACCGCACGAGACTGTTCAACATCAAAACTGAAGATAATGGAGCTTGTATTGACAAGAGATCTTCAGCTTGTAGTGCATCAGAAGCCAGGGATTTGAAGTTACAGGTGATTAATTTAATTTAACTGTAGGCGTTGTTGCATGGACACTAGAGTAAATCATGGTTTTATCAGTACACTCTATCTGAAATTTTTGGTACCGTGTATTTGCATGTGTCATGCAATCCAGGGTCGACCTTAGAGTAATGGGTTATTCCAGAAAATATCCATACCATACCACGGGCGGCATCTTAGAATTCCGAGGGAGAGGGGGGTTTCTTGGACTGGAATTCGGAAGGCATTGCAGGGGTAATACAGTTTGGAATTCGAAACACATGGGGGTTTCAGCTCTGAATTTCCAGAGGTGGAAGACAGCGAAAGCTCAAAAGCTTCCCTTGTAATCGCTGATCTGATAATTTTTCCAGCTTGTAGCATGAACTGACTGCAGAAGCAGGATAAAGATCGATCAGGCAGGTGTTAACGTTCATGCGGTGAAGTGAGCAGATGGGTTGTGCAGCAAGCTCCACATTGAAGAGGCCTTAAAGTTGATGAATTAGTTGATAGATACAAGTCTGTGTTTCTTTCCAATCTAAAATTGTCGAGCGACGATCTTGTTGCGTGCGAAAAACTCACATCAGTCTCTCGTTTCCAAAAGGAACGCCTGACATATTTGTAGGTTGCGTTACGTTAAGTGGTCAGCAGTTGCTCAATGAATGAAATTTTCAATATAGTGCGTNAAAAATTAGCTTGATCCTGCAAAAAATAACAATCGGCCCAAATGCTATATACGCCATTTTTGCACAAAAGCCTTCAATTGATAAGCAGTATAATTTATATTCTTGTAGATGGAACAAATTTCTTCCTTCAATTAAAGTATTTAATTCCAAAATTAAAATAATTCACCAGCTTGAGACAATGATCGCAAAATCAAATAATAAATTAAAAGCTCACAATATGAAAAGGGGCAAGTACAAAAACAAATAGATTGATATAGAATCTCGTGTTGTTGCTGCGCTGAACTAGTATTATATCTAAAAGTAGAAGAGAGTTAAGAGGAACTGAGGTGTGTGTGCATGTCTGTTTGGTTATAAATTATGGATGTTTATAAAAAAATGTAAGTGACCTCAAATCAAGAAAAAATAATAAAATACAAAAAAGAAGAAAAAGAATGATACAAATAATAATTATATTGTTGGAAATGTAATTAACACATTGTAAACACTGATATTGATATTGCTGTTTTTAGGTGAAGACAGAAAGAGATGATGAGTCCAAAAGTGGACAATCCCGGACACCAGAAATGGGGATTTTTGAGCTAGTAGAAAAAAAGTTCAATCATGAAAAACCAAACATAAAATCAGAGTTAAACAACATGGCATTGTCTGATTCAAATTGTATAAAGAACCATCGTCACGAATGTAATTCCAGCAACAAACTGTCCAAAAAAATGCCTCCATCATCGCCTTCTTTAAAACAGAGTACACTAAGTGCAGAGAGTTTCTCACCAAAGAAGAGGCCTATGTTGCATTCATACCCAAAACAGGAACAGTCTTTACATTATACCACACCTCTATCCTGTAGAGTTCCTTTGAGAAAATCAGAACTTGATGGAAGAAGCAAGGAGGAAGGCCTTATCAAACGCTTCACTGAAAACCAAATGAATACCATTCAATCTCTAAAGGAGGAGAATTTCCATGAGTCCATCTTGGCTACTGTTGCTAGTTTTATGCACCATCACCGTAAGCCTCCACCTGATCTTTTGTTTTATCTGCTCAATAATATTCTGCTATCAAAGCAAAGTAAATGTGGTACAGAGTGTATACGAATTCTAAGGCAAATTCAAGTCTTACATCCTGTTGTAGCAATGGAGATGATACGCCAGAAAATCACATGGGAATTTGTTTCGATGGTGGTGAAGCTATCAGGATGTGGACAGGTTCACAAAGCCTACTCTTGCCTTGAGGTAAATGCATCAATGGCTTTGTCTTTCCTTGTCAGTGTAATGGAGGAGGAAGTTAAGATAAAGAAGTTCAGCCTTGTGAAGACGAGTGCAAACAGGCTTCTGTCTGTAAGCAATCAATCAAGTCACATTCATGATGTGCTCAACTGGATTGGACAGTCATTAGCGCATCACAAAGGAGAGCGATTAGATCAAAACTGTGGGCAGAATTTTTGCCCTCTGTATTTGCTACAGAGAATTCTTACGTTGTCACTTTTGGTCAGTGACCGACTGGAGGATAGTGCAACTAGAATAGCAGATGATTTGGTTGTGGTTTATGTGGAGCAGCAGTCCATTACACACAAGACTCTACTCCTGCAGTCTGTTCAGTCCCATCTTCTGAAGACAAAGCTAATTGAAGTCATTGTAACTAACTGTTGTCCACTTGATGGTGATCAGTTGAAAGTTGAGGGCATTTCTAGAGTAGGGTTGAGACATATTGTCTTTACCGACTTCAGGCGTTCCCCACCAGCAAATTCATCCTCAATTCATGGCCTCGACAATGACCTGTCTGGTAACACTGTTGCTAACACCACCAACTGTGAAGAGTTTGTTATGCTGCTAGCATATTGGCTGCAAAGCTTTGTCTTTTGTCGCAAGAGGTCTCTTATGAAAACCACTTCATCTGATTTGCTGCAAAACTTGTCAATAGATGACATAGACGTTTTGAATGAGATTGATGACGAAGTTCTGATGCTGAGGGTACGCCTAGAGTCCTTATGCAACCCTTTGCCTCTGTCCTCAAGAAGCTACCAGTTGTTGGAATTAATTTCATCACTAAAAAGCTTTGCTCTAATGCTGCCGTAGTTGACAGCTGAAGTGAAGCCTTATCTTTTTAGCAGCTCTGGCTTGCTGATTTGTTCTGCGAAGATTTATGTGCAGTGTTGCCTAGTAAGCATATTATAAGTTGAAAGAAGTAAAGTTTAAATGTATGAGCCTTGTGTTTCTGTTAGAAGATTAAGAAATATGACAGCATTTCAGGCTACCTGCAGTTAAGTTAGAGTAAAAAGATTGAAGTCTGGTATTATTATATCAAGTATTATTAATAATTGTAATAGAATAGATTGCTTATGTATTAGATGTATTAGATTACCTCCAGGTGGGGAGGACTCCCACATGTCATTGACAGGGTTGCTTACAAGTTGTGTCTTTTAGTCACCTAAAATGAGCACTGTTTGAGCTGGCAAACATATGACAATTGATCAGTAGTTGTTGTGTTGGTAATGGTACTTCATGAAGCAGAATGACAGATGTTATCCAGGGATTTACGTAGAAAGTGTCAAATTTAGTATTGAACATTTAATTTGTTATTCGGAGGCAAGGATTTATTCTGGACACATGCACAAGTTATCTCCTCACATCTGATTGGTTCATAAACAATGGAATTGAGTCATGCTTGGGAGCCAGTACATACAATAGTAATGCTAATGAGAAGTACCACCTCTATTGCAGCATTTTCATGGCTGACCATAAACTTTTCAAAGAAAAATTTCATACAAAAATCACAAGCTCGCTTTTAATGTTTCACAAACAATGGAATTAAATGGGCTAATGTTACAGCTTGCCCATTCTCTGAGCCATGAAACCATCCCTTTAAAATTTCTGCTCAACTAAGCCAATTTTATGTGGGAGTCCACTTTACATGTATTGTTGGCCTATTACTGTAGTTGCAGTTATTTGGCTGGTACAGACCCAAGTGGCACTGCAAATCATCTTGGCAAGCAATAGTAATTGAAAGTGNTGTTCTTTTGCTGGTAGCCATCGTAATTCTGGGAGATTTCAAGATGGGTTTTCATGTAGACCGTCAATCAATTTACCTTTTGCAATGAATCATGGGCGATACATGAGCAGTGTCAAGGAAGGAATAAGACAAGGAGATTTTCTTTTTTTCAAATGAATTTCAGTTTTATTTTTGGGAAGGCACATGCAGAAATCAAAGAAAAGCAACTTGCATTCAAGTTTTATTAACAAAAGCTGCATTGAAAGCCCAGAGTTGAACAGCCGGGCAAAGTTGTGCTCACAGACAGTCAATTTGCCCAGTGCCTGGCCCTTAATGAATCCACTGAGTTTAAAATGTTCATGCCATCCATGGTAGGGTATGGATATTTTCTGGAATCACCCAATGTTCAGATGGAGATGGCTGCAGATTTTAAACAATCTTGGATGAAGTTTTTTGTGACATCTAGAATAATCAAAGGAGAAATAAGTGTTATTATAATTATCAGTCAAGGCTGAGGCTGATAACAATCAGCCAGACCTTGATGATATCTTACAGGGGGATTGGTGGGGGGACTTCTATGTGAAAAGGTTGGGGATGCTAATCGTCTCATTCAGGGGTAAACAAAAAGTGGATTTTTGGTCTCACTTCAGGTGTTCAGGACAAAATGCCACTATTGTTAGCTGTCAAGCTATCTTTTAGGGTTGCAGGTGAAGAAAAAAAAAATGTTTGTTTTAAAGTAGAATCTTCTAGGGGCCAAATAAAATCCAGATGGGCCTCCTTTAGGGGGTGTGATTCCTATTTTTCCAGTGAGCATCTCCCACCTTTTTGCATGGCAGTTCCCTGCCCTTGGGGATGATATATTCTGGATAAATGAAGAAATGAATTAAATAGTTACTTTATTATACCTTGCTGCAGAGAACTTATAGATCATAACTTACATTGAGCAGAAAGTGGAACCAAGTTATTCTGAACACTAAATGAATTGTTTTCAACTGTTGCTAAAATGTCTAATCTTTCTGTCACTTTTTTTGATTATGTTGTCAGATATTTTTGTTTACTTTTGACTGTTTCTGTATTAAGTTGCACAGTTAATATTGCTGTACCTAAACACCTGGAAGAATATATTACATACATCCTATAATAGAAACCCAGAGAGTTCTTTGTTGCAAGAAATTGGCTATTGATCAATTGAGCAACTGGAAAAAAATTCTTCTGCATTATCTTGAACCCATTGGGGGTAAATTTATCTTATGTTGCAATTTTGATTTGAAGAAATTGCCTGTAAAGCTTCCAGCATTTTACGAACAATACTTAAAAAGTTTTGCAAAATTCTCCATAGCAAATCACATAAGTTTACAAGGTCAAAATAGACAAGATCTTTTAAAGGCTATCATGCGGAACAATAAAAATATTTATATCAGAGGCAAATCTGTGTATTCTAGAAATCTTGCAGAAAAAGGAATTCCCAGAATGGGGGATCTAATCTCCAATAACAATGAATTTATTGTCAAAAGTAATTACAAGTTGAGAGAACTAAACATCTCGCCGTTAGATACATTAAGACTTATGTCTGTAATCGATGCCTTACCAGCTGATTGGCGTGAATCATTATCCATGTCTGCTTCTATAGTTGATGAGCTTTTCAGTTGACATAATGAAATTGAGTTAAGTTTTAATGGGAAAAATGTTTTAATAGAAACAGTGGTTTCAAAGACTGTCTATAAGGAACTTTGAAATAGAGGCATCAATCCACCAACTGTCCAACTGAATTTTAATGTCCTTTTTGTCAATGACATTCTAGAATGGAAAGAGATTTACAGGTTGCCATTTAGCATTTCCTTGGACACAAAATTGTGGGAATTTCAGTATGAATTACTTAACAGGTGTCTTGTAACAAATTCTTTTCTAAGCAAAATTACAGGTATTTTACCATCTCTGATGTGTTCCTTTTGTGGTGAAATGAGCGAAATCCTTGGAGCACTTTTATTTCTTGTCACTATTTTAAGAATTTCTGGGCTGAGGTTATAAAATGGCTTGATAATCAAGGAGTTGAGATAGAACACATTTCTGTCAAAGATATACTGTTTGGCATTCTAAGGTGTGAGGACGAGTTTGTTAATCATACTTTAATAATTGAAGGCTTTCGTGCAAAAAGGGCGTATATAGCATTTTAGGCCGATTTTTATTTTTTGCGGGATCAAGCTAATTTTTGGCAGACTGACTTGTTTTGACATGAAAGGTATCGTTGCGTAATTGTTTTTGTTGATTTGCACTTCGTTTTCGAGAAATAACGTATGCAAAAAACTCAGTTTTCTGAGTGGCATCTTTTGGAGCGAATCCTTCGAAGGTGGATTTTGACTTGGCGCAAACTTAAACGGTTACTTTTAGCAGCTTTGACGGCACATTTTTTTTATTTAAATAGATGTTTTGATTTTTGAAAGAAGTAGAGATATAGACCGGAAAAAAAATTGACTGACCTCTTATCGAACCAGTGTCACAACAAAACAAACTCGAATCCAGCCCGTTCAGCGCCTTATTCGCTTGCGCCAACAAAGCAACAGTAAGAGAATTGCATAATTATGTGAATAATAAAACTAGTGGCAAATACCACGCTTCGGTGACTTCATTGTTTAGTAAAACAAAAGGTTTCTTGTGTTTTCTGCTCAACAAAAGATCTCCAAAAGATACCCTTGGAAAACTGAGTTTTTTATTTAGTATACGTTATTTCTCAAAAACGAAGCGTAAATCAACAAAAGCAATTACGCAACAATGCTTTTCATGTCAAAACAAGTCAGTCTGCCAAAAATTAGCTTGATCCTGCAAAAAATAACAATCGGCCCAAATGCTATATACGCCATTTTTGCACAAAAGCCTTCAATTGATAAGCAGTATAATTTATATTCTTGTAGATGGAACAAATTTCTTCCTTCAATTAAAGTATTTAATTCCAAAATTAAAATAATTCACCAGCTTGAGACAATGATCGCAAAATCAAATAATAAATTAAAAGCTCACAATATGAAAAGGGGCAAGTACAAAAACAAATAGATTGATATAGAATCTCGTGTTGTTGCTGCGCTGAACTAGTATTATATCTAAAAGTAGAAGAGAGTTAAGAGGAACTGAGGTGTGTGTGCATGTCTGTTTGGTTATAAATTATGGATGTTTATAAAAAAATGTAAGTGACCTCAAATCAAGAAAAAATAATAAAATACAAAAAAGAAGAAAAAGAATGATACAAATAATAATTATATTGTTGGAAATGTAATTAACACATTGTAAACACTGATATTGATATTGCTGTTTTTAGGTGAAGACAGAAAGAGATGATGAGTCCAAAAGTGGACAATCCCGGACACCAGAAATGGGGATTTTTGAGCTAGTAGAAAAAAAGTTCAATCATGAAAAACCAAACATAAAATCAGAGTTAAACAACATGGCATTGTCTGATTCAAATTGTATAAAGAACCATCGTCACGAATGTAATTCCAGCAACAAACTGTCCAAAAAAATGCCTCCATCATCGCCTTCTTTAAAACAGAGTACACTAAGTGCAGAGAGTTTCTCACCAAAGAAGAGGCCTATGTTGCATTCATACCCAAAACAGGAACAGTCTTTACATTATACCACACCTCTATCCTGTAGAGTTCCTTTGAGAAAATCAGAACTTGATGGAAGAAGCAAGGAGGAAGGCCTTATCAAACGCTTCACTGAAAACCAAATGAATACCATTCAATCTCTAAAGGAGGAGAATTTCCATGAGTCCATCTTGGCTACTGTTGCTAGTTTTATGCACCATCACCGTAAGCCTCCACCTGATCTTTTGTTTTATCTGCTCAATAATATTCTGCTATCAAAGCAAAGTAAATGTGGTACAGAGTGTATACGAATTCTAAGGCAAATTCAAGTCTTACATCCTGTTGTAGCAATGGAGATGATACGCCAGAAAATCACATGGGAATTTGTTTCGATGGTGGTGAAGCTATCAGGATGTGGACAGGTTCACAAAGCCTACTCTTGCCTTGAGGTAAATGCATCAATGGCTTTGTCTTTCCTTGTCAGTGTAATGGAGGAGGAAGTTAAGATAAAGAAGTTCAGCCTTGTGAAGACGAGTGCAAACAGGCTTCTGTCTGTAAGCAATCAATCAAGTCACATTCATGATGTGCTCAACTGGATTGGACAGTCATTAGCGCATCACAAAGGAGAGCGATTAGATCAAAACTGTGGGCAGAATTTTTGCCCTCTGTATTTGCTACAGAGAATTCTTACGTTGTCACTTTTGGTCAGTGACCGACTGGAGGATAGTGCAACTAGAATAGCAGATGATTTGGTTGTGGTTTATGTGGAGCAGCAGTCCATTACACACAAGACTCTACTCCTGCAGTCTGTTCAGTCCCATCTTCTGAAGACAAAGCTAATTGAAGTCATTGTAACTAACTGTTGTCCACTTGATGGTGATCAGTTGAAAGTTGAGGGCATTTCTAGAGTAGGGTTGAGACATATTGTCTTTACCGACTTCAGGCGTTCCCCACCAGCAAATTCATCCTCAATTCATGGCCTCGACAATGACCTGTCTGGTAACACTGTTGCTAACACCACCAACTGTGAAGAGTTTGTTATGCTGCTAGCATATTGGCTGCAAAGCTTTGTCTTTTGTCGCAAGAGGTCTCTTATGAAAACCACTTCATCTGATTTGCTGCAAAACTTGTCAATAGATGACATAGACGTTTTGAATGAGATTGATGACGAAGTTCTGATGCTGAGGGTACGCCTAGAGTCCTTATGCAACCCTTTGCCTCTGTCCTCAAGAAGCTACCAGTTGTTGGAATTAATTTCATCACTAAAAAGCTTTGCTCTAATGCTGCCGTAGTTGACAGCTGAAGTGAAGCCTTATCTTTTTAGCAGCTCTGGCTTGCTGATTTGTTCTGCGAAGATTTATGTGCAGTGTTGCCTAGTAAGCATATTATAAGTTGAAAGAAGTAAAGTTTAAATGTATGAGCCTTGTGTTTCTGTTAGAAGATTAAGAAATATGACAGCATTTCAGGCTACCTGCAGTTAAGTTAGAGTAAAAAGATTGAAGTCTGGTATTATTATATCAAGTATTATTAATAATTGTAATAGAATAGATTGCTTATGTATTAGATGTATTAGATTACCTCCAGGTGGGGAGGACTCCCACATGTCATTGACAGGGTTGCTTACAAGTTGTGTCTTTTAGTCACCTAAAATGAGCACTGTTTGAGCTGGCAAACATATGACAATTGATCAGTAGTTGTTGTGTTGGTAATGGTACTTCATGAAGCAGAATGACAGATGTTATCCAGGGATTTACGTAGAAAGTGTCAAATTTAGTATTGAACATTTAATTTGTTATTCGGAGGCAAGGATTTATTCTGGACACATGCACAAGTTATCTCCTCACATCTGATTGGTTCATAAACAATGGAATTGAGTCATGCTTGGGAGCCAGTACATACAATAGTAATGCTAATGAGAAGTACCACCTCTATTGCAGCATTTTCATGGCTGACCATAAACTTTTCAAAGAAAAATTTCATACAAAAATCACAAGCTCGCTTTTAATGTTTCACAAACAATGGAATTAAATGGGCTAATGTTACAGCTTGCCCATTCTCTGAGCCATGAAACCATCCCTTTAAAATTTCTGCTCAACTAAGCCAATTTTATGTGGGAGTCCACTTTACATGTATTGTTGGCCTATTACTGTAGTTGCAGTTATTTGGCTGGTACAGACCCAAGTGGCACTGCAAATCATCTTGGCAAGCAATAGTAATTGAAAGTGCTCTGTGAGCAAAAAGAATTTGGTTAATATTTCAAGTACAGGCATCCTTCAGCAATCTCCGAGAATACTGAGTGGATATTGGGTACTAGATAAGAAGAAACCTTGTACTGAAGGCCAAAATTTATTCTTCTAGCTATTGAAAAGAACAGTCGTGCAGGGAAATAAATTATGTGGATGTAGAAAATTATGTAAAGTATAATAACGTGTCTATTCATTGTTACAGTTGCAGTTACTATTGATATCTTCTGTTTGTTACACCTAGAGCAAGGTTATAATTTCATAAACGGAGACAACTGCTAAGCTTGTAATCCTGTTTTGTTAGGTGCATCATAGAACAGGTGGTTTTTGGCACTGATATTGAATGAAAAAGAATTACTAAGGAATACTTCATTTGAACAAATGCATTTATGTAAAAATGAGACTATTTGGAATTTTATTTAAGGGATGCAGTACATAACAGTTTTTGGAAAATACAATTTAAAGGAAAAGATGCAGCTGTAGTTCCTCTTTGTTTTTAATTTAATAAGTGGTCAGAAGCTAGGAGTATAAGTACTTCCTCTAACATGACTATCTGGGCGAAGGTAGATCTGAACAGAACTGTTGTTGACTGATGTTTCAACAATCTAAAGGGAAGTCATCTTCAGAGTCAAGTGAAAAGTGTTTTCAGGTGTTATTTTTGTGTCATGAATAAGTTGTTTCACTTTGTACGACAACAACACAACAACACAAAACAATGCTTTATTTATTCTAGACTCTTAATACACATTTGTAAAGAAAATCTTCGATTATTGACTTCTGTCGAGTGGCTTTTGTTCTAAGTTGGTGTACCAGCTTTCTAAAGTCAGTTGCTGAAAATAGTTTGTATAGCATGTTAAGTATTGAGCACAGTCTCAGTAAATTCTGTGGTTTGTAAGCTGATGATGTTCAGAATGTGATTGTTAACTTCACAATTTCTTGTTGCTTGTTTGTGTTCAGTTAGTCTCACACTACTTAAGAGTTCTGCCAGTCTTGCTGATTTACAAAGCCAGGCAGTCGTAACATTTGATCTTTTAAACTGCTTGTGGCTGTTGTTGGGTTCATGCCTGTCTTAAACTTTGGTCAGTTAGTGTTGTAATGTAGTTATAGGTCTGTGGGCTGTATGTGTGTTGTAGGGCTTTGACTCTAACTAGTCTTACAGCCAAATCAGTTTCAACTGACCTCACTTTTAACACCAACTGACAAAGTTAACTCTTTTTCACTACACTCTAAAGAGGATTTCTGCTCAGGCTTTCCAAACATTAGTCAAAAACTGATCTTTTCACAACTGTGCTCACCCAGATGATCACACTAGACAAAGTATATTCTTGACTGTTAAAATATCTACTAACCAGCTTTTGAGTTCGTGGCAATAGAAATATATTTAAGAAATATAAGACACCTTTTCTCTATGAAATTATACATGGTATAGAAGCCATATTATTATATGGCTAGCTCCGTGAGCTGGCAAGATGAAGCAAATCCTGCGCTGTGATTGGCTACTTGAGCGGGCAAGATGGAGCTATCTTGCCCGCTTGGGACTACCCGCCTTGTCCTTCGAGAAAACTTTCCCTGAAAGCCATATAAAAAATTCTTTATTGACCAAGCTTCTTCGGTCAAGATGGCTGGATATTGGACTTGATCTTTTTTTGCGAGTTTATGGACCTTGACTCCATCTTGGTCCATAAACTCGCAAAAAAAGAACTTGGCCAATATCCAGCCATCTTGACCTCACAATTGGTCAATAACCCATATAGCTGAACCTGTGAGCAAGCAGTCTAAGCAGTTCCACCAGATCTTTCAGGAAAGTTTTCTTA